CAATGATGGTGCCAACTTGGGCCAGTGAAGCAATGTCCTCCACAACTAGACTGAAGAACAAAATGACAGCAACTTGTCTGTTCCCTTTTCCCCAATTCCCCAGCTCTGTTCCCATCCCCCAATTCCCCAATAAAAATCTTTTTAAAAAAATCATTTGAGGCTACTTGGAAATTTTAAATACAAATTTTATAATATTAAATTATTTTTAGAGGTCAGATAAATTTTGGTGGTTTTTAAGGATACTTAAATATGTGTGGATGAAAACATACAATGGCTCAGAAGGTAAGAAAGTGCTCAAAGATAAAAACAACACATTAATGGGAGTATGTCAATGAGAACAAGAGCCGACTGAAACAGGTCCCAGTGGAGAACGTTGGAACAATTTGAGCAAAGAAATAGTGTTGGATTATAAACCAAAGTGTATAATAAATACCTATGAGTTCATACTGATATACTATATAGAGACAGATGATTGAATGTATTAATAAATGGAGAGGAGACAAACCTCCATGCAGAATAATTCCACATAATTTCGTAGATACTCTGCCCTTAGAAGGGAAAGTATATATAACTCTTTTCCCTTAGGTGTAGACTACACATAATGACTTCTTCCAAAGTGTCTAGAATAGAAAAGCAAGGGGAAAAGAGAACCTTTGTAGTAGAGAAACCTGACAGATTCTAGCCAGGTGTTCGTAGAAAACATCATTTTCATAAATCATAGGACGTACACTTGATATGATGCAATATAAATGGCATTTGACCTCTGTAGTCTTCCTTCCAATAACCCATAACTCCAGTCTTATCATGAGAAAAACATCAGACATATTTCAACAATGAGGCATCCTAGTTTGAGCTCTGAGCAACAGCTGTTCAAGTCCAGCCCGAGCTGAGCAGCCGCTGAGCTGCCAACAGGTGGCAGGATGGCTCAGCTAAAAAAACAAAAAAAAACACACACAAAAAACAATGAGGCATCCTACAAAATGCCTGGCCAGTACTCCTAGAAGTGGTCAAGGTCATCCAGACCTGGAAAGTCTGAAGCTGCCNTTGGAAGAAAGGCAACATAAACACCAAGACCGTATCGCTCACGTCCACAATCCCAAAGAATCGTTTCTAAGTTACTTAAAATCTCAGCAGTGGCAGCGTTTGGAAGACGGTTAAAAAAAAGTCGCCACAACAGTCAACATCACACACACATACACACACAGCCGACTTGGAAAAAACGGAAAGAAATGGGCGCGATCGAGTCCACGAAAGATCGCCGAGCAGGTGGGGCCGAGCTGCAGTTCGCACTGGGAAACCAGGCCAGGGGCCCCAGTTCCGCCGCCCTCCAGGCACCGCTCCGGAGGCGCAGCCCCCACGACCCGCGCCAGCCCCTCTCGGCCGCCTCCTCCCCTGGTGGCCCGGGACCAAGGGAGCGAAGCAGGGAGAAAAAGGGACTGCGAACTCCGTGCCCCTACGCCCTCCTCCCATCAGATGGAGAGCTGCCCCGGGACTCACAGGACGGAGCACAAGGTGGGTAGCCCCGCCGCGCCGACACGGAGGCTCCCCGATCGGCCCCGGGCGCCCCTCAGGTACTCACCCCACTTCTCCGAGCTTCAGGCCGCACCCCTAGCGAGGCCGCTGGATCTCCGGCTCAGGGACTAACTTCTCCATAGCGGGGTGCGACAGAACAGGAGGTGCGGGAGACAGTGGTGGGGTACAGGGCCGACACCGAGCTCTCTCCGCCGCGGCTTCCCCAAAACCCCCGCGGAGCTGACACATCAACAAAGATGGCGGCGACGCTGAAGCCGGCCCCGCTACAGCTGAGGGGGCGGAGCTCCCTGGAGGAGCCAATCAGCGCTGTGAGGCCGGTGTGACGCAACGCTCCTTGAGGCCAGTGTAACCTGTCTGCTGTGGGCGAGCCGGCGCAGCGCCGCCTCCTGCCCCGGGAGCGTCCAGCCGGGCACTTAAGATTATCTGGGCACACACGCCCCCGCGAAGCAGGTTTGTCCTTCCTCTTAAGCCCCTCGGCGACCCAAGCGAGTTATTTCTTTCTGTGGGACGCGCTCCTTGGATATAATTCTCCTCGCACTTTGGCCTTTCCTCGTATTAGGGGCATAAAGCAATAAAAGAGAATTGAAATGATGACTTCCCAGCTCGAATGCACAAACCTTGCACCTGACGTAGGCGGAGTCAGCAGGAGTAGAGTAGCCTACCGGCCCTTCTGACAATTCATCCCTGGAAAAGACTCGGGGGCTTTCCATAACACCGCGTTCGTGTTCACAGCGTTGCACCTGCTGCCATTGTTTCATAATAGACTGTTGGGGTGTTCGTCTCTGGCCCCCGACTGTGAGCACCTGGAGCGCGGGGAGTGTCCTCTCCCGGATGGGGTTTGGCACGTAGGAACTGCTCACTATTAGCAACGAAAAGTGTCCCGGGGCGGGGTGGGAAGTGTGTTGAATACATTTGCCTTATTAGGTCGGGAGAAGTCAGGTGAGCAGTTCCCGTCTGTGGAGGATTTGCAAACCTACGCTGTCCAGTGAAGTAATGGTCTTTCGGTTTAGGATTATGCACAACTCAAGTGCGAAAATAGTTAATTCTGACGAGTCGTCAATACAAGTGTTTGTAAAGCAAAACTTACAACCTTTCTGTTAAGCTTCGTTACTAACTGCTGGCAAAAGAAAGCGGGAGAAACCGAGAGAGCGAAGGAAGGAGGTGGTGAGAGAAAAGAAAGATGACTTTTTTTTAAAGTTGTGTAATTCTCTTCCTCTTTCCTTTTCAACAGGAAATGACACCTCCCTACTTAAATGAAGATACTGCATTATTGTAGTGACAGTAAAAAAAAAAATGATATGACTTTAAAACAATAAATTGACCAAACATTTCAAATGAGATATATTCCCTCCAAGGGAAAAAAAAAAGGAAGAAACTTTAATCTTTTTTCGGTACTCATGTTGTCAGTAATAACATTCGTACTTTTATTCCTGAAATATACATTAGTATAAAGCATATAAGTAATTATACTTTCCGGGAACCAAGATTATCAGTATCAAAGAAAGAAAATACAAATATAAAAATCATAAATTAAATAAAAATCCTGCAATCCTAAATTTGAATTTAGAAATATCCATATGAACTCATGGGGCATTCTTTTTGTCATTAAAAAAAAAAGTCTGTCCATTGTCCATTGTAAAGACCAAGAATAATAATCAACTCAATACATATTTCTATTCTCTAGGCTATCATCTCTGAATATAATTTCCCAGGAAAAGTCACCTGAGCTCTTCCTGGAGATGGAAGACTAATTCTAAGTTTGGGGCAAGAAATCTACCAGAAAGCCTAGGACATGTAGGTTGCACCAGAAAACAAAGAAAGAAGCAAAGAAAGATATTGGAGTTGTGCCAAAAAGACTTAGGAGGCAATTCAAAAGATTCAGGAGGCTCCAGCAGATCAAAGATAGGACAATTTTAGCATTCAAAATAATAACAGCAATTGATAGAAACACATATACTATGTTAAAATTCAACCTGTGCGGATTTTAAAAACATCACTGGGTCACCTTTGGAGCATGCCCAAGAATCATCACATTCGGAAAACCTAAAAGAACCAGGCATCCTCCCTTTCCTATTACAAACTGAATCTCAATCAAATAGTTGATGTGGGAAAGTTCTTTATAGAATTCCAGGAAATAAATGCAGAAGATAGATTATCACTATTTTGCAAACCCTCAGGAAGTAATGGATCTAGGTAATGATCAGCAGTGAGTCTAGAATCACTAGATGAGAAGCTGATGGGCAACTTTACAGTGGATGGATGGGGCTGAAAACACTTGAACCTGCTACACCTATTACAATATCCCCTAAAGAGGAACAGCGAGGTATTAAGTATCTTCTGATGTGATGCAATAGGGGATTCATACCATCACCTGTGAAGTATTCTTGCCAGAGGGGATACAATCAACAAAATCCAATGTGAGAAAAAACTGCAGTTACTTCGATATATTATTTGCAAGAAAATGAAAGGGTTAAAAGAGAAATTTTCTTCACTTGTATGTGGGATCTACAATAATATAAACAAACAAGCAAAACAGAAACAAACTCATAGATACAGAGAACAAACTGATGGTTGCCAGATGGGAGAGGAGTTGGGCACCTGGTTGAAAAAAGGTGAAAGGATTAAGAAGTACAAATTGGTAGTTACAAAATAGGGGGATGTAAAATA